CCATTTTACTTCATCTCCAACCCAGACCTTAGCATTTGGTGTTATTCTCATAGCCATGCTTTACCACATTGTTGGATTTGAATTTTGTTTTTCTCACTTTGTAAGAATGACCAGAGCCACCCACTAATATAATGAAGGTGCAACAGAGTCTCTGAATATATGGGTGATGTGCCCCCTTAAACATCTGCACAGATGGTCAGAGCTGTGCTCCTCATACCCTTGTCACCAGGGGTCCAAAGTCCTTCTTGAACTCCACAATGTGCCACATGGTAACATGTTAGAGTTTTACCCAATAGAAGAAACAATTGCTGCTTGTGTAGGGTTGGTACAGGGCCTTCTGGGTCATCAGCTGTTATCAGCAATGAGCTTCCCAGTTAGATATAAACCCACCACTTGACTTACCTGTGGTAAGGGAGTAGAGTGCAATAACTGAGTATGCTTAATGTCCAAACTAATGAAAGAAAATGGAGTACTTAAAAACAGTGGTAGTGCGAGGGCCTTGATGAGTACCTCATTTCTCTAGTGGAGGGGGAGGGAGGTATGACAGAAAAAGGGTACATGGGGTTTCTGGCCACCCATTGTCTTTGGAGCCCAGGGTAGAATGGATGGTGATTATAGCACTGTCTTCCTTCCTGATCTGGGGATAGATGTGTGTCATGCCACATGGCTTGGGTATACCTTTGCAATGTCGGATAGTAAGCTTGCCACTCCTTTCTTCTAGTTTCTAAGCTAAGTGATTGGGGGCATCTGTGACATATTTAATGTCAAGAACCTTTGAGCAGCTGGCAGACATAAAGTAGTAGAAGTGCTGGGAACATCTGTTCTGTAGATGAGGCTTACCTTGTGCCTGCATTGATAGGTGTTCAGCTCCCACAAAGGCAGCAGACATGCCTTCATCCTCCACAGAGGTAGAGAGCCCAGCCAATAGAGCTCTGCTTCTGTCTGCCTGGGTGACCTCAAGAAGTGCCTCAGTGCCTTCATCTGCAAAGCCCTGATCATGTGCTCACAGGACTGTTGGAACTGAATGAAATAACACAAAAGAAGTATAGGAGTACTTTTTCATTGGGACTGCCAGCCCACAAATAACAACAAGGAGACTTATTAATTATGAAAGGTTGGCCTTTAGCTTAGGCTTGTCTCAACTACCTCTTATAACTTAAATTAACCCATTTATATTAATCCACGTTCTGCCATATGGTGTTGTTTCATCTCCGTACTGCCCATCCTGCTTCTCCCAAGTCTGTCTGTCAATTCCGCCTTTCTTCTTCCCAGAGTCCTCTCTCTGCCTGGATGCCTCACCTATACTTTCCCGCCTAGCTGTTGGCCATTCGGCTTTTTATAACACCATCTCAGCAATACACCTTCACACTGTGTACAAATATCCCACAACAGGAAGCAGGAACCCGAGGGCGCCTGCATTATTGTCATTCGCAATGGCAGCCATATGCAGCTACCTGCAGGGCCCACTGCTTGTCTGTGTCTAACAAGTGCAATAGTTGTATCCTGCCTAATCCATATTCTCAAGGTTTAAGTTACAGTCAGCTGTGGTCAAAACATATCAAATGGGAAATTCCAGAAATAAAATCATTTTTAAGTTAAAAAAAAAAAACTTCTATCACAGTATATCAAGTCTGTTCTGTTTGTTGTTGTTAGTTCTTTCTGTATCTAATTTTTAAATTAAGCATCATGGGTATGTGTGTTTAGGAAAAACCATAGAGGTTAGCACTACCTGAGGTTTCAGATATCCCTGGCAGTCTTGGTATCTGATTGTGATGAATCAAGGCACAAATACCTTATTTAGTAAATAGTCTGGAGAGCCCTTGACCAGCCTTGAATTGCTAATTCAACGTCCCAAAAGGCAGCCAAGGATACCCCCTGTCATGTAAACAGCTGTTCTTCAGCCAGTGTCTCCTGGGCTTTTTTCCTGAGTACCACTGGGCAGCTGTCTGATCGGGTTTCATTCTTCCTATAAATACAGCCCAGCCTTGTTTCTGGATCAGAATCGGGATTACAGGATATGTGATGTAGAACAAGACATGGATTTGAGAAAGCAGCCCTCATCCTGTTTCACCTGGATGGGCTTCTAGCATTTCATTATCACTGAAGGTAGACTGCAAGAGACAGTGTAGAAGCATGTTGCTTTCAGAGCCCAGTTTGAGGGCAAACTGAGGCTTCTTCATAGAGCAGGCAGTGAGGGCAAGGTTACCCTTCTGTTTTGCCTCTCATCAGCATTTGTTAGCTGGCTAATCCATTAGTAATTGAGGGTTCCTGTTAGTGCCTAAGCTGCTGACCTGACATTGGCTCTATGTCTAATTGAATGCTTTGAGAAATGAAATTAAAAAGTGGTGAAGAGACTTTGCAGTCCAGGAACTGTACTGCTGCCTGGTGTTATTCATAAGACAGGATCTATGGTTTTGGCTGCTTTAGCCTTCTCTGAAGGAACAGTTGGAGTCACATCTGCCAGGAGACTTCACTTGCTGTGTGGTTGAGTTTGGGATATACCAGGGCTTGTTATTTGGGAGAAGATATTAAAGGCCTAGTGTGGTAGCCTTGTTGTACTGTTCTCAATACGACTTTTGTGTAAGAGAATCACTGGTCCACTGTTTTCCTGACAAAACCAGATGGCTGAGTTGCCATGTTCATCAGAGATTTGTGCCAAGCTTATTAGCATTTGCCAGTCTTGTGGGACTAAGAAAACTGTGAAAAGCGTGTGTGTGTGTGTGTGTGTGTGTGTGTGTGTGTGTGTGTGTGTGTGCGCGCGCGCGGGCGCGCGTTCTCCTTAGGAAGTGGACTGCTGTTGCTTTAAGGAGCAGAGCAGGCAGTCCCGATGAGGCTCTAATTGATCAGTCACTTTCTAGGCAGCAGCAGAAACCTCTTGCAGCCTCACTCCCTGTAGCTCACCCTGTTGCCATTGCAAGTTTCATGTCCTCTTGTGCACTGAAGCCCTATATCCCCCAGTGAAGTAGAGTTCCAGCTCAGAGAGGCTTCATCACAGCACTGGCAAGAGAAGACAAACAGAAATCTGCCTGCAGTGTTATCCATCCAATATTAAAACCACCCAAGGGTTGAGGAGTAGTCATCACATCCCAGTCACTCAGCCAAGCCTGCAAGCCTGAGTGCGTTCTTTCTAGGTGGATTTTGGAAAGCTTTCCTCGTAAAGCAGAAAGGTCTCTTCCTGGCAGCTCATTCCACTGGTGGGCCAGCCTGTCTGCATGAGAACAAAAAGAATTCTGCCTCCCCAATGTGGGCCGCATAGCCCTTTTTTCCTTCCCCAGTGACTTGTGAACTAGTGGAAAAGTTTGAAGACTTTCCAGAAGTTAAGCAACACTCCCTTTTCAAGCTACCTGGGTTGCCTTTATTTGTAGTCAAGTTTGGGCTGCTGAGGTGGCCTTTGCCCTAGTTTAGCATGAGCAGAATAATAGTGGTAGCTCAAAAGGAGATGCAAGCAATGATTATGGGATTATTCCATAGGCTTGTCCCCAGAGAATTTATTTGAAAAGCAGAGTAGATATTTTTTATTATGTAATTTCTACCTTAGAGCAGTGTGTCTATGTACATATTAAAACTTGGACAGTAGCTAAAGTTTGAGTGTACTTTTGTTAGTATACCTTATTTCTTCTTAGTATCTTGTTTTTCTAGAATGTTCTTACCCTTAATAAAGGATTCTAGGGAAGGGGAAAGATTGGAGGTTTGGCTATAGAGTAAACATAAGAATATTTTGAAGATAATGTTTAATTTGGATTTCAGTGGATAAGGAAAATATCCTGCTTAAAAATATACCATCAGGGGACTAGAGAAATAGCTCAGTAGTTAAAAGTACATTCTGCTCTTGCAGAAGACCTGAAGTCACATCCCACAACTCATATTGAAACAGCCACCTATAGCCCCAGCTTCAGGGAATAAATCACCTCTGGCCTCCATGGATGCCTGCACTCACCTTTAAAAACATACCATCTGCATTTGCAAGTTTAAGCCTTGACTACAAACAGAACATGTTTTTATTTTTCTTACAGAAATACTAGGGCTAGCTCAATCACTCTGAGTTGATGAGTAGTTATATGATATAACTTCATGAGTGTCTCCGTTACTCTCATGCTTAATTGTGTCAATTGCTAGTACTTAAAGGTTAATGTGGCATGAAAAAGAATGAGTGTTCACATGTGATTCATAGCAGGCATGTGGTGACAAGAGACCCTGGTGCCATCCACTGGTTCTTACCAAGACTCTTCTGTGACCAGAACCAACTTGGCTGTACTTAGTAGAATGAACATGATTAGTGTTGCCCTAACTTATGCTGCAGCACCCCCGGAGTAGGGGGGCAAACAGTAAAGCTCATGAAACAAGCCTACTCATTGGGCCAACCCAGCTGAATGTCTATCTCATGGAGCATGAGGAGAGGCAAGGCCACCATACCAGCTTGTCTCAGAAGGCCTGGAAGCCAGACATAGCCTTCCTCTACTACTGTGGAGCTAGTCTCACTGGGTCACAAGATATATCTTCTTGCTTGGTTTGGAACATTCCAGCACCATTGCCTTCCTCCCAGGACAACATGAAGACGTATGCATGTGGTTATTCCATTTGTTACCTTCTTTGCCAGTGGTCACCAGAACGTCTAGAAGGGGACAAGACAGGAGAAAAAGAGGTCAAGCCATGCAAGTCTACTTCACCACCCAGGGCTTATGGCTGGCAGGGGCCAGAGTGGCAGGCAAATGTGGAGGACAGTGAATTTCACTATCCTCTGGTCCATGAAGTTAGGCACTCTGAAATATATATGCTATATGGATTCAGAGTGGCAGTAGAAGGATCTTTGTGTTTGCTGAAAATGAATACACTGTTCTGGTGACAGCTCAGTGTTTCAGAAAGAAAGAGTAGATGTCTCATGAAAACAGAAGGCAATGGCTTCCAATTGCCTTCTTTCAGGGAGAATTGTGTGTGTATCTTTGTATGTATGTATTAGGTATACACGCACACACATATGTGATTTTTTTTTTTTTAAACAGAATGAAGTTGGCCTACTGGAGTTCTTCCAAAGTGTGATAAAAGAAACTAGGGCAGAGCCAAAAAGGGTGATTAACTGGGTCCTGAATACTCTTCTGTACTATTTAAAGCAACAGAATCTTGCCGTCAGTGAGAGGTGAGTGAGGTCTGGGGATTTCTTTCTTTCTATATCATGAACTCTGTGTCCAGAGGCAGTTGAAATAGGACAGAGTGAATTTTTTACTCTGCCAGTTCTCCCTCAGGGTTCCCTAACAAGACAACAAACATCCCCATTGTGTTCCACATTCTAAAAATACTTTCCAGCCCATCTGAAGATCCACTCTGTGCTCAGATCTCTGGCAGAGCACTGTCTGAGGTACTGTCCTAGGGCTTCGTAGCTGGAGAAAGAACAAGATGAGGAATGGGCTCACTTGTGGCTAGTACAAACCCATAAAAAAGCACCTGTCTCCTCCGTCTGATCTTCCTATGCAAGAGGCATGCAGGTGGCCCTGGAAAGTGCAGAACTGGGGCCTATGTGGGGCCCAGGGCAATCCTCAGAAAATGATTCAAGAGCCAAGCCCTGAATAACTTTGGGGGTGTTGAGTGAGTGGAGGTGTGGGGTACAAACATCTACAAGTTCCATGATCAGACAAGCAGCCAGCCCCGGGAGCTCAGAAAACCCAAAGGCTCTGGTGTACTGAGGTGGGCAAGCTGGAAAGGTAGGTAACAGGCTGGAGAGATGACCAGGAGCCACCTGAAGGATATTCAGGCCAAACTGGGTCACAGGGCCACCAGGTATCACAGAACTCAACGAAGAGGTACATGACAAAAGGAAAGAATGAGGGACTAGGGAGAGAGCTCATGTGGTGCAAACATGGGAGCATGAGTTCAGATCCCAGCACACATGTAAAAGAAGCTGGATACAGTGGCCATGCCTATAATTCAGCAATAAGGAGGGAGACATAGCAGGATCACAGAGCCCCATCGTCTAGCCAAATCAGAGAGCCCTGAATCCCAGTGAGACCTTGTCTTTAAAATTAGGCATGGTACTTCAGAAGAAGAGTCCTAACATGGACCCCTGGATGGCACACTCACACCTGCACACATGTGCATATATACCTGTCTTAGTCACTGTTTAATGCTGAGAAGAGACACTATGACCAAGGCAACTTATGAAGTGTTAATTAAGGCTTGCTTACAGTTTCAGAGAGTAAGCCCATGGCCATCATGGTGGGAAACATAGCAGCAGGCAGGCATGGCACTGGAGCAGCAGCTGAGAGCTTACATCTGTTCTGCAAGGCAGAGAGAGAGAGCAAGACTGGGCCTGGCATGGGCTTTTGAAACCTCAAAGCCCTCGGCTAATGACACACCTCTTTCAACAAGGCTCCATCTCCTAATCCTTCCTAAAAATTCTACTAACTGGGGGCCAAACATTGAAATATGAACCTATGAAGGTCATTGCCATTCAAACTACCACAGCCTAAAATCATATACCCATACTCAAAAATGAACCACAGGTTTAAATATGGAGAATGAGCAAGAGAGTTTTATTATGGCAGCTAGGAAGGTGGCAGGGTCCTGTTAAGGTCCCCATGGAAGGAGAGCCCAGGCCAGCGTGTGTGACATTACCTCAGCACATCTCATGACTGTCAAACAGAGGGCACTCTGGCCTGGACTCCCACAGCATCCTTTGAGTTTCTGCCTCTCACTCATTTCCCCCAGGTGTAACTTTGCTCTTCAGAAACTCGATGGTTTGCACTGAAAGTACTGTGGCCATTAAGAGAAGATGGGAGATATTTGGGAGAGTGTGAAAGTGACACAGCCTTGAAGACTGGAAAGGGTTTGAAGAAGAGATGCCTGAGTGATGTCTGGGGGATGGAGATGAACTATATTAGCAGACAGGAAGGAACAGAAGCACAGCTCACACTGGGCCATTCATTAGTATGTGTATGCAGTGCACTGGGGTGAAGAGTGGGGGGGGGTACTCTATTTAGCCAGGAGATGCCAAGAAAGTTCAAAGAAGAAAGGGGGCTAGAATTTCCAGAAGTAGAAATCTTTTGGCTTTGAAGTCACAGTCACCGTGTTGATGGTTGCAATTTGTGGCACTCCAGAAATTTCAACTTGGGAGAGAACTTTGGTATCTCAGATTCCCCTCTTCCATTGAGCAGATAGGGCAGCTGAGGCCCTAAGAGATCAGATGACCTTCCTCAGATGGTACAGCAAGTAAGACCCTGCTCCATTCAGCATCTTTATGCTGGCTGGTCACCCTGACTTTCCACTTTCCCGTCTTTGTGTGGGTCTGTGAATTGGAAGTTTGTTGAACAGCCTTTTCTCTCTCTCTCTCTCTCTCTGTCTCTCTCTCTCTCTGTCTCTCTCTGTCTCTCTCTCTCTTTCTCTCTCCCTCTCTCTCTCTCCCATGTCATATACACATTGATTTTTATACAGTCCAGTTATTTCAACAAGAATGTCTTTAGGGTAGTATAAGGACTTGTCTATACAGCAAGCAGAACTCTAGAAACTTCTCCCTGATCACACATTTTCACCTATCCATCCCCTACCCTCTGAGCTCTTCCTGGTCCTAGTGTAAGGTATTTAAGGATCCTTAGTAAACTCTGAATAGCCTTTTCAGCAGCTTCTTCCATAACTAAAGGGAATTAGCCTATTGAGTGAGTGTGAACCCCCTGGTTTCCTCAGAAGGTTCAAAAGTTCTAGGGTATAGCGAACTCTTCAAGGTATTCCATTCCAAGTAAAAGTATATACTAAGTCATCCCAAAATTACATAAAGAGGAAGCCAGGGACCACACAGTTCAAAGGACTTTTAGTCAGATGGGTGTCTTGTTCCTTTTTCTGTTGTCAACACCGACTCGTTAAAGCAAAGAGTGCCTGTATCTGCTGATGGATGGGCTTGTTGGCACAATCCTCCTGCCATAAAGGGCTTCATCACTGTGGAAGAAAGGAACCTGAGGGAGACCAAGCTGGCTTTTTTGTGTATCCACTCAAAGTAACCCACTAAATCGTCTATGAGGGAAGAGTTCTAATGACCTCCTAAAGGTCCCTCCTGGTCCCTCATAGAGATTGCATATCAGCGTGAGTTTCAGTGGGGACAAACCATATCCATACAGTAGCCACTGACTCTGCCAGCCTAACTACAGAGGGAACCTTACTTAGTAAATGAAACTCGTTAGCCACCAGGGTCAACATGGCAAAGCTAACTGTAGCCTTACTGTGACTCTGGGCACTGCTTCCCACTTCCTTTTTTTTTTTTTTTTTTTTTTTTTTTAGCTTCAGATATTTTCCATGAGGCTTATTCCTGCAGTTTGTTGTCCCTCTATAGAACTCAGTTTTGGTGAGCTTTTGGCCTCTCTGGAAGCATGTTTAATGAGGCAGGTAGGAGAAAGAGGAGCCAGAACAGCAGTGGAAGCCCTGGACTACTTCTGCAGACTGAGGGGAGCCAAGGAACCAAGGAGGAGAGCACTGACCTGGCAGGGTGAGCAGGCAAGGAGCAGAAGAGGGATGCCAAGAAGAGGAAAGACCCAAGAGGCCCTGGAGAAGGGCTTTTCTCAGAGCTGGAGTCAGGGTACAGGGTATATGAGAAGGGAAAGTGAAGTGCTGAGCAGCTAGTGAGAGTGTGGTTTTTCAGAGAAGAGCTTCTCTAGTGGGTAGGGTGTAATCCCAATACATGTGCTTACAGAGGGCCAATGGTAACAAACGTAGGTTTATTCATTCATTCAATCATTTATTGCTTGCAAAAGGTACTAAGTCAATCAGTTGGGATGTTTCCCAGTAGGGAAGGTCTGAGCATGTACAAGGGACAAAATTAAAGCTTCATGACAAGAAAGCTAAGCCTTCCAGAAGGCTTTGGGAAAGGTGATGGGTGCAGGCAGGGTTAGACACAGTGGGAAAAGGAGGGGAGCTCTGGGAAGCACTGCGCCTCTCAGCTGAAGTTCCTAAGAGATAGCTAAGGGCATGTCCTGAGAAGGAGACCCTGGAAGATAGTGAGGAGTGGGGCACCATGTGGGGCCCCAGAACATCAGAGAACAAAAGTGCCACCTGGAGGTCCAGGTTTCTACACCTCCTTCCAGGAGCCTTTTGAGTCTTGGTTTAGCAGAAAAGAAGAGGGGCTAAGGGAAGTGTAGGACTGAGATGGGCTGCCATTTCATGGGGGTGGAGCATAGTGCCAGGGTGTCTCCTCTTGGGATCCAAGCTGGAGATGGAGTTGTGATCCTAAAAGGGCTGTAAGGGACTGAATGAAATCACAAAACTTGTAGATCGCATTCCACTCTTTCCTAGATACCTTGTCTCAGAATTGATGAGAGTCAAGCACAGGAAGCTTAACCTTGAGATGTCAGTTTCTTTCATGGAGACACATGTACTGTCCAGAATCCAAGATTATCTGACAGCAGCGAATTAGTAGGCTATGCGGCTGCCACCACTGAGTCTGAATTCTGATGGTTTATTTATTTAACTGATGAAGGATGTCTCTCAGGATCAATATGACAGGTACTGATCATTGTCATGGTCTCACAAGTTTAGCCCTGGCATAGGTACAGTCTGCAGTCAGCCTCCCATATCTGGGTTCAACCAACTTACAGGTTGGCAATTTGAAAAACTACCACAGTAATGAACATGTACAGACTCTTTTCTTATCAGTATTTCCTAAACAACACAATGTAACAACTGTTTACATACCATCCATATCATGTTAGGTAGATAATCAAGAAATTATTAAGGCATAGGGAAAGATGTACATAGGTCCTAGATGATTGTATCACCATGTACAAAAGACATGAACATCCACAGGCTAGTATCTGTGGGATAGTGTGTTCTGGCTACCAGACCCTTGGGTACCAAAGAGCAACTGTATGTGTAGTGTGGCAGTTGTCCAAGTTTGTGAGAAGCCCCAAGACACAGGAATTATTGGCCTACTGTGTATCAGTGTGTTGTGAGAACAAAAATGTTAGTGAGAAATCCCATTTGCTATTAGGTCAGTGGAGAAATCAATAAAGGAACCTTATAACCAGACTAATCAATTAAGGTCATGCGATGAATGTCTTACGTGATCTTATAATCTTAAGTTCTTTCTCTGTCCCTCTCTACATCTTTTTTTTTAAGATGTCCAATTTTTTTATAAATTTTATTTAAATTAACTGGGCATTGGTGGTGCACTCCTTTAATCCCAGCCCTTGGGAGACAGAGGTAGGAGGATCTCTGTGAGTTCAAAGACAGCTTGGTCTCCAGAGGAAGTTCCAGGACAGGCTCCAAAGCAATACAGAGAAACTACAAAATACAAAAAAAGAAAAAGAAAAAGAAAAAAGAAAAGAAAAGAAAAAATTTACATTATAAGCAATCTTATTTACATATCAATCCCAGTTCTGTCTCCCATGCGGGGGGGGCCCCCCCCCCCTCCGTTCCCCATCCCATCCCCCTCCACTCCCCAGGGAGAGTGAGGCCTTCCATGCCTCTCTACATCTTTTATAGCATCCATGGTATGAATTTTTGTGTGTGCTCCAAAGTCATATATTGGGATCCTAGGAAGTGGAGTCCTGAATGTGGATCTTTGAGGAATATGATTAGTGCTTTTCCACGAGAGGCCTTAGAGAGCTAGCTTCCTTTAACTATTGTGAGGACACAGCAAGAAGGTACCAGGAGCAGGAAGGCAGGGACTCAGTGATGCAGGTTCTGTGGCACTTTGATCTTCAATTTCCAGCCTTGAGAACTGTGAGGAGTAATTTTTCTGTCTATAAGCCACTCTTCCTATGGTATTCTGTTGCAGTAAATCATATGGACCATGGTAATCATTGACTTGGTGACCTCTTTTCATGTTCTAAAAACCTAGTGCAACCTCAATGCTTATTATGGGTTATATACGTAGTCTACACTATAAGATAAATGGTAATTGTATTTTATGGATTGGAGAATATCCAAGCTACCTACAGATTGAAAACATACATTCTTATTTCTTGCCAGTAAAGATGGAAGGTTAGAAAAGACTATTGTTTACTATTGCAGCAATCTGCCTCTCTGGCTTTAATCAAGATCGTTCTTAGACTTCTGAGTATGAATTTAGTACCACTAGATAGTCTCCAAACCTAATTTCTACTTGGAATCACCTTATATCCATACTTTGGGATAAATAGTAGTTTGAGAACAATAGGCAACCCTGAGTAAGATGCATGAATTACAATGTGGTGGTCTTGAACACTATTGGTCTGGCATTCATGGAAATTGGCACTTGGGATAAGCTATAATTACCTGCTTGTTACCTAAAAATTTCTAAAGAAATGACTAGTGAGTGACAGGAACCAAGACTTCTATAGAGGGTGTTTTCAAGTGCTCATGTGCTTCTGAGTCCTTTTATACTGACACACTTATGTCCTATTTATAAACGGTTCCTATTTTACCTAGTCCCATGATGACCACAGATAGTCATTTCATTATCCTAGTTACTGTGTATATTCAGAAGTAGCTAGACCATGTATTTGTAAAGATGTAGTCTGTGACTCCAGTCTCTTGTTAGTCCAAATGCATAATACCCTTACTCTTCTCTGAATGTGAGTTAATGTTGCCTACAGTGTTTATTTTCCCCAAAGTTTCTGTCATAGTATCTTACCAATAAGTCACATAAGTGGATAAAGTGTGTTTCTAGGCCCATTTGTGTTAAGAAAGCTATTAAGAATCTGCAGATATATAAAAACAATGCATGTAGAAGGCCTATAAGGTAGACATCATGTTTTCCTTATACCCCTTACAATGAAAAGGAATGTACATTTGCATAAAAAACACTCAGGAAAGTAGTTTTGTCAGCTGTTTTGTTAAATAATTTTCAGGCTGATCCTTCAGTCAAAAAATATTTAATTACTGGATGTTTCGCCCCTTTTCTTTGTGGTTCATGAATTTTGCAGTCACCTTCTCTTTTGAACTAATTATGTTAAGCAGTTAATTTTTGTTATAAATGCTATCAAACAGATGTTATTGTTGGATGGTAATATAAAGAATTTTAAAAAGCATATTAATATAAAAACTCATTCTCCTGAAATACAAAATAATAGAGTCCAGTTCGCCTGTTATCTTCACCCTTGGATATGGTTGATTATTTAAACATACAATAGCAAGAGTTTGGATTCTGGTAGCCAATGGGCCCCTGCTGATGTAAAATGTTGACTTTCCTCTCTTTTCTGGGGGCCACTAGTCCTGTCACACCTGCTGCGCTCGCCGAGCTCCTTGACCTCCTGGACAGTAAAGCAATTTCTTCCTCAGCAGCTAAACAGGTATGTGTACATTCCCAGAAGGCTTCCCATTGCTCCACAATCCCATTTAATAGTTTCTGTAAAACCCAAATGGCATCACTAAGTGAATTTCATGACTGAAGTATTAAGTGCCCACGAATTTGAATACTGGGAGATTTCATTTGGCAAATGTAGAAAGCCAGCAAAGTGCAGTGCAGGGATTCAGCATGGGATTTTGCTTCTGGTTTTAGCTTATTGGGGGAACTATCTGTAGTCTGGCTTTTTCCTAAGTGTCTACCCTAAACATTGCTGAGCTCGGAGCCTCCCCATTGTCATGGCCAGGCAGCTGCAGCTTGGCCCCAGTCCACCTGCTCCTCTCCTGTCCTGACAAGCAGTTCCAAGGCTGCCTCTGTTCCTGTCGCAGACCTGCCCCTCAGGAGTTGGTCCTCAGGAGTTGGGCTCAGTCTGCCGCATGCTTAGGAGATGGTATTTTTACATGTGCACCTAGGTGTGGAGATACAGGAAAAAGAGCATCGTGTAAAGTGGCCGCCTCCCTAACCACCTCCACTAACAAGGCGAGTAGGTGAGTGATTCCTAGAATGTATATTGAGAAAACTCTACAAATGAGTACCCAGAAAGATGAAGAACACCTAGGGCTGCCTCATCTCCACTTCAGAGGGCTGCACAGCTGTCAGTGCTTCAGCCAAAACCTAATGTTATTTTAATGGGGCCTTTTACATTTAATATTTATACGATCCAACAGTAGTGGCAGGTTACAAAGTGAGGCTTGGGGAAGTGGCTGCTTTTGGTTAATTATGAGACACCACTGAGCATACTCCAAGCGCTCTGTTGTGAAACTGGAGACAGGAACTGGAGAAGGCTCTATGAGCCGCCTCATGCGAGGCTGTCGGCTACAGGGACCCAGCACTTAGGAAGGGCTTTGCCTTACTGTAGATGTCAGAGGATTACAAATGTTTATGACAGTGCTCAGCAGTTGTGGAAAGAGTAGATGGCTCGGGGCAGAAAAACTATACACGTAAGAGCAGATGAATCATAGCATTTGAAATGAAAGAAGAAAAAACCTTCCCCTTGTCCTTCCTTCCCACCCTGCCCTCCCCCTCCCAAACCCCCCCCCCCCCCCCCCCCAAAAAAAAAAAAAAAAAAAAAAAAAAAACCCAAGTGTATGGAGTAAGATAGTTCCAGTGGGAAGAAACAGAAAGGGCTGGAAGATGCTGACAGCTCAGCTGCAGATAGAGACATGTTTGCATTTTATCAACTTCAGCATGTCTAAAGGAGCAGGTGAACCCTGGCTTCTGTGAGGCCATGAAATGAAAATAAAAACCTGATCTGCAGTGTTCAGTGTGCACTGCTGTGGAAATCTCTCTCACAGATCAGGGCCTTGGGGATTTTGTCTCGTATTTTCTACTCTTTGCTTTCTGTTTGTAAAAAAAAACCATTGATTTTTCTGAGCAGAAATAATGACTATTATGTTTATTGATTATAAAGGATTTAAGTAGCCATTCATGGTGATATTAGCCTATAATGCCAGTACTCAGGAGACTAAGGCAGAGAGATCTAGAGTTCTAAGTCAGCCTGAACTACACAGTGAGTTCACAGCCAGGAAGACTCTGCTTTCAGCTGACAGACAGACAGACAGACAGACCTCTCCAGTAATGTGTTGACTATATAGATTCTCAGCTGCTATACTGAAATAGTTGTCATTGCTGTTGGGTGAGCTTCATTCTCAGACTCTACTGTATACAAGCAATGAGAAGAGGAGGGAGCTGGGGCCAGTCATAAGCTCAGAGGGATGAAAACTTCAAAGAGGAAGAGGCTATACTGTAATTTAAGTTGGTTTTCATTTAATGTATAGTTCACTGACTTTTTACTTATGAACTGTTTTTCAAGATAATCTCTAATGATTTGTATTGCTATGGTATTGGTGGTAATGTCTCCTTTCTCATGTTTGTTTTTTGAGTTTGTTTGTTTGTTTTTGTTTTTTGCTATCCTGCTGTCTAAACCCCCGGGGTGCTGGGATTTACAGCTGTGTGCTACCCACATGGCTGCATGATTTTTTTTTTTTAAACTTTGGGTCTTATTAGTCTAGCTAAAGACTTGTTAATTTTATCTTCCCAAAGAACCAACTTGTTTCTTCTTTTATTGTTGTCTTTACAGTCTTTTTGCTCTGATCTTTATTATTTCCTTTACTTACTAATTTTGAGTTTGGTTTGTTTTTTGCTTCTCTAAATCCTTAAGATGTGTCACTGTTTGGGCTTGGGGACTGGGAAGATGGCTCTGTGTGTGACCAAAGTTCAGATCTCCAGTACCCATCAACAGGCATGGTAGCTCACCTCAGTGTTTGGAAGATGGAGACTGGGTATTCCTGGAGCAAACTTGGGTTCTGGGTTCAAATGAGAGATCAGGCAGAGACCAATCCAGAAAGACACCTCACATCATTTATCAGACACAGATGTGGACCCATGCATATGTGAGCACGTGCACACGAGTGCGCACACACACACACACACACAAGCAAAAAGAAAGTCATTGAGTTCTTTTTTCCCCTTTTTCAATGTGTGCCCTCATTTCTACAGATCTCCCTCCTAATACTGCTTTTGCCTTAGATCACAGGTCTTGAAATGTTGGTGTTTTGTTTTGTTTTGTTTTGCATTTTCACTATTTTGAGGAAAATTTTCTATTTCCATTCTGACTTCCTCAGTGACACAACTATTTGTTCAAAAATATATCTTCAGTTTCCACCTACTTGTGTCATTTCTAAAGCTGTCTTGTTATTTACTTCTGGCTTTGGAGGCTGTCTTGGAACTAGCTCTTATAGACCAGGCTGGTCTCGAACTCAGAGATCCGCCTGCCTCTGCCTTCCAAGTGCTGGGATTTAAGGCGTGCGCCCAGCTACTTTTGCAGTTTTTTTTTTTTTTTTTTACATGTATTTGCCTTAGTTTAATTCAGATCTTGAGTCATTAGAATATTTTCTTTTTTTTATTAATTCAAGTTAGGGAACAGGCTTGTTTCACATGTAAGTCCCTTCTCCCTCCCCCACCTCCCCCACTTTAAACTTAAATATATCTAGCATTTTCCCACTTTCTCTCCCCCCTCCAGCCCCTCCCATTAACCCCATGCCTCAGTCAAATTCATGGCCTCCTTTTCTTTAATTATTACTGCTATCTATATGCACATAAACACTCGTGTGTGCTATTGCCCGCACACAGAGACACGGTGGCACACACCTTTAATCCCAGCACTCAAGAGGCAGAGGCAGGCGGATCTCTGAGTTTGAGGCCAGCCTGGTCTACTCAGTGAGTTCCAGGACAGTCAGGGCTACACAGAGAAACCCTGTCTGGAATATAATGTGTGTATGTGTGTATGTACACAAATAAACACATGCACACACACAAACCTTCTGAGTCCCTTAAAGTAGTTATTTGTGTATATGTTTTCAGGGATGACTTGGTATTAGATAACCAGTTAGGGGCTTATCCCTGCTGACAATGGATGACCTCTCTCAGAAGTCTTTAATTGCCTGTAAGTCTTGTCTAGGGGTAGGGACCTGTGAGAGTTCCCCCTCCCTCGATAGTATGTCTATTGGTGTTGCCATTATTGTGATCTTGTTTATGCAGCCAATGTTGGGGTTCCATGGGTCAGGTTCCCATCATTTCACAACAGACTTTTTGGTTCCTGAGCCCTAGGTAAGGAGTTTGTGTTGTAGATGTTTCAACAGGGGTTGAACACCCAAAGTCAGTTGTGATTTGTATTTTAACCAGATGTGGTTTTCTGCTGGTCTCTATCTGCTACAAAGAGAAGCATCTTCGAGAGATGGGAGATAGACTTCTCTGTAGGAATCAGTGTTTAGGATACAGTTAGGAACTACACTTTTCAGCTAAGTGGCAGTCGTAGGTTCTCTATGATTTCTCACTGTATAGCCAATGGCCTATAACTCACTATGTAGACCATACTATCCTCAAATCACAGAGTTCTGCCTCCTAAGTGCGAGGATTAAAGGCATCGTCACCACACATCATTTTCATTAGTCATGTTCCTGAATGTAAAGTAGTGTCTCACTGGATAGAGATGGATTTCTCTAATGACTAATTATGCTAAGCATCTTTTTACTTCTTATTTTATGTTTTTAAGTAAATAAAAAACTGTTGTAATTAATTTTAATGCATTAATGGAAGAGTCCAACAAGTATACTTTAGCCTTAGAAACATTATTGTCATTGCCTCTGACAGTCCAGAAGAGACTGCATGTATGACTAAAGTTAACTGCAATGGCTAACATGATAAAAGATGTACACAAAGACTTGCCCTGTCCTGAGAATGTTCAGAATTCCAAAAAACCTCCTTTGTGTTATAATCTGTTTTAATCCCTCTCTCTCCACCTGCCTCTTGCTGACATTGTTGCCAATTAGTTCTGTCCTTTTCACATGTCACTGCAGCCTCCTCCCCAGTGTTCCAGTGGTGCCTTTGAGGCTTACAGACTTAGTCCCTCAGGATTCTGGGGCCAGGGCAGTAAGAGGTGTCCACCGGGAAACAGCCCTATTTTTCAGAAATAGAAACCTGAAGATTGTGTGCCATGATGCACAACCTTCTGGCCACTGTGGACAAAAGCACCCTGCCGTCCTCTTTCAGGAGCCAGGTCTGTGTATTGAAGTGGCAGGTGGCAGTCCCATCACCTCTCCTCGCTAAAGACAGGACCAACTGGGACACATCAGACTCCAGAGCTATGGGCATCACAGCTAATTTGCATGTAGTCCAAGGAGGCCCAGGCTATGTCCCAACTGCTGGCCAAGCTACAGCTCAAGGGAGGATCCTGGGTGTGTTTACAGCTTCTTTTGGAAGTGGATGGTCCCTTGTCTCCTGAGCATTGTCCAGCTAAGGCTGCTGCTGGGACCAGGCCAGAAGGGGTCCATAGAGATGAAAGCCACATTTAACATACTCAGAGTGCCATTTAACCAACCTTTACTGTGTGCCTGGAGTGGGCCTTAGAGAGAAGACACCAGAAGCTTTTCAGATGTAGAAATGTTACCATGTGCCATGTCCTGACACTGTCACTTGACTGAAGTCCCTCTCTAGGTGCTTCCCTTCCCTCTATATCTCACCCCGCCCCTCCTCCTTGGAGGCTTCTTTTGGGTCTGTCACTTCCTGCAGGAATAACCTCTTATAACAGTTGCCTTTGACTCTTCTCTGTAGGGACACAGCTCCTTCCCTGACATTTCTCTTGAACCAGCCTCTCCTCTCTATCTTGACTCAAAAGCCTTGGGCAGGCAATGACAGGTGAGGGGCCTGTGTGCTTTCTTTCATGGTTGGGTAGCAGTTACTATTTCTGCCCCACCTGTGGCTCCTGACTCGTATCTGTGTGACTGGGGCTTCCCAGCTTGTGTCCCCCATACTGTTGGTGGCTATTTATTATCTGAGATAATACTTCTCAGAGTATGAATAGACTCAGACAGTAGCTGAGGATTATGCTACAATGGGAGCCTAGGCCACAGAGGCCATTATGTGAGAGGCAGGAGGACAGGACAGCAGGGCTGCCCCCACCCCCACCCCCACCCTGTGATTTCTTTCTTGCTGGGCTCCAGCCAGGAGCTCCTAGTCCTTGCTTAAATAAGAAGGAGCAAAGGGTTGGGAACTGGAGTCTGCTGTATCAGGCCCAAAGCTAGGTCTGGGCTGTGGAGCCAAATCTGTGAAGAAGACAACAATGGGTTCTAACTCCAAGGAAGAAGACATGCTGACCACTATGCTCCCAGGGGTTCCTGGAACCACTCAGTGATGTTTGCTAGCCCTTCTCCAGAGCAGCCGCCTAACATTTGGATAGACCCTACTTCCCATCTGGTGAAGTGGGCCAGGCACCTAGTGTAATTCCAACCAGCATTTGAGCCTTGGATGCCAGGCTGTCCTTTTGTCAGCCTGTTTCTGGGCCCAAGAGTGGTTCCCTGGCCCAGGAGTGACTCACTGATTCCAGGGCAGATTGTGAGGGGCTGGAAGGGTGCCCCTCCAGGTCTGCTAAACAGCTCTGTCTGCTTACCGGAAAATTGCAAACTCTCTGTGCCAGGGCCTTGCAGAGGCTCGTCTTCTCTTCTGATTTTGTATGCCTGAGCTAGGGGAGCTTCTTTAGGAGCTACACCTTCACCAAGTCATGATAAATATAGCTAGTAGACTTTAGCTTTTATTAATATAAATACTTCTGTAATGAGAAGAGCTGCACACCATCCCTCTGTTGCTTTCTCCCTTAGTTTTTGAGGCAAGGACCCCACCGAACCCATAGCTTTCCAGTCTGACTGGACTGGCTAGCCAGCAGATTGCAGAGATCCTCCTGCCCCCACCTGCCCAGAGCTGGGGCCAACCTCAGGTTCCCGTACTTACACAGCAAGCTCTGTACCCACTGAGCCCATGCCCCCAGCTCCTGTAGTCTTAATTAAGCAAAATATATCAGGGTTAGGGCAGAGTATCTCCTCAGCTTTGCCTCTGAGCAGCCTCATGCCCAGATAAACCACATTAAAAACTTTTCTGGGCTGATTCACTCAGTTGGGACACTCAAACACACAAAGAAGTTTACCATTTTCCACATAGTGCTGTCCTGGTCAGGGCTATTTTCTTATGAATAGATTTGAAGATCTGTGTTCATATTTTCACTGAACATCTTATGTCATTTGAAGGCCTGTGGTTCACATTTCTTCTGTTTTCCCTGGGCCACCCCACCAGGACTAGTTGGAGCTAGCCAAAGAGGTGTCCATGGAGCACTCACAGTGGGACTCACCTCAGAGCATCCTGGGCCATCCGTACAGGAGTCTGACCAGCTGGACAGGGGCACCATGCCTTTTATGTCACCATACAGACTCCTGCCTTGTTCTCTGTTCTCACTTGGGAAAGGCAATCCTGCTGGCAGCCAGAGCACCTCTTCCTTTTTGCTTTGGCATGTATGCTAGTTACTGAAAACAGTCTTTCCTGGAGGGAGGAGCTGCACAGTAGCACCATGGAGACAGGAGTGAGTCTGTGTCATATGGTTGCAGGCTGAGGGTAGGAGCCAAACTGAGGCAGCCCTGCATTCTCCTTTAGATGAAAGAATGAGGAAACCAACCTGACCAGCCAACGCCTTCCACAGTGTTTGCCTTTCCCCACGTTTCGTTCATTTGGGGATCTGTTATTAAAGTAGAAAATAATCAGGGTACTGACACTAACTACCCTAGCCAGATTGGGCTCTGTTCTCCCAACAGAACACAAGGTGGGAGGGCAGAGCCTGCAAGTTGTGATTTTAGTTGTTTTCTATTTTATATCTTCATCCTGAGGTCACTTTGCTCCCTCAGCCCTGCTTCCTAGCAGGCTGCTCTAGACTGTGCATGCAGCGGCTCCCTCCTGCTGCTTGTGTGGCCTGTCCCTTATGAAATATCACCTCCTTAATTAGTTTAGTGGGCTCAAGATAGATCCATCACCAGCCCTCTGTGGTGACAGATTGCCTGACTTGAGTCATCAAGTGGGGGGTACACCTGGCTGGCTTGAGTCCTCATCCTCTTCAGGAGAGGAGCCCGCCAACCCCAGGAGAGACTTGGGTTTGCTGAAGGGAATGTCCCCAGCCCTCTGGGAAGGTTATGGGAGGGGTGGTGACTTCTTCCTGGGTTAGGCCATGTAACTGGGAGCTACTTGAATCTGGCACGCCCTTCCCTGTGCTGCACATGACCACAGAGGCGCATGGAGGTGGCCGAAGCCCTGAGTCTTCACTTCTCCTTGTCTATCCTTCTCCACCGCAGGTGTTTGAGGAGCTGTGGAAGGGAGAGGGGAAGACAGCAGCACAGATTGTGACAGAACAGCAGCTGGAACTAATGCAGGATCGAGAGGCCCTGGAACAGCTCTGCCAGGCTGCCATAGATGGACACCCCCAAGTGGTAACTATCTCCAAAGGGAACAAAGTCTTCCAGTGCAGCAGGAATGAGGGCCAGCCTGACATCTGTCCACAGTTCCTGCTGCAGCCACAGCCCCTTGCTCATGAGGGCTGGCCTAGCCCCATCAGTCCCTACTTTTGTGTCAGCACCTAAAAGTCCCAAGAGACAAAAACCGGTGAAAAACAGCTTCTTGTTTCCATGAGGAAAGTTCTTCACTAGTGTTTGCTCTCTCTGGAGTTAGTTTAAAGGTGCATCATCGGGTCTCCAAATGCAAGTTTTAATTTGAGGGGTCTGCCACACTCAGAATTGTCATTTACATTCTGTGTGGCCACCTCCACTTTGTCAGGAGGACCTGCTGCAAGGAGGGAAAAGACCAGGAAATGCTTCCATTTTATGGCCTGTGAGAGGAGGGACAATGCAGAGAGGAAAATGATCTGTGAATTACAGAGAAAATCCTTTGACAGAAACATGGCTGAAAACCAAGTCATTTTTGTGTTGTTAGCATAGCACAAGATAAAATAACCATGCCAAGTTGCAGGTCTCCCTCCTCCCAACCCACCCCAGGTCTAATCATATTGTCTAGAGAGATATTTTTCAGTGGGGAAAAAATTACTAGTATCTCTTTCAGAGTACTGCACACCACCTGCCAGTGTGCAGGGACACTGGTGGCTCTGCAAAGAGCCTTCAATAAGGAAAGTGAGCCCACACCATCCCAGCAGTGCCCATCTTCCTGCCCCATCTGCAGTGACTGATAAGGACACACTTGGTTTCAAATTCGTCCTGCGGCACCCAAACACACTAACTGCTAATCAGGACACTTGCAGAGGGAGGCCAGTACCATGGTTATTTGAAGGGTTACTCAGCCCTTCATGCCCCCACTACCCCCTGCCTGCCACAGCCCTCACTGAGCCAGATGCCATCCTGAAGGTTTGTTTTCTAAGGAAGAGTTCTTGTTGGCAGGGAGCAGGGCTGCATGCTCAATGGCACTAAAGAACTTGAGAGGCACCCCTGCCTGATTAGAGCCCATGCTCATCACAAAGATGACTGACTCAGGCTGTGCCACCCCAGAGGAGTGTTCTGGTTCCCACAGCAATCACTAGTGAGCACCATTCTCTTGTTCATCTTAATCAGAAGCCGAGGAGCCAGGGCCCTTTTGACAGGAACCTAGAAAGGTCTCGGAATTTAATCCCCTCCTTTCTTTCCTTCTTCATTTTACCTCTTACATGAAGGGAAGAAAGAGCCTGAATTTAATTTGCAATCAGTGGGAACCTTGCGAATTGTTGGTAGCAGTCTCTTTATTCTCACTTCCTAACTTTTGTTTTTACAGGTGATGGATGTGAAGAACAAAAACCCCAAAGCTATTAATAAGCTGATCGGGCTGGTCCGGAGAACAAGTCTAAGCCGCGCAGACCCAACTCTGATAAAAGAAATACTGGAGAGGAAACTGTCATTGTGAGATGTGCTGAGGTCCCTCTGCCTGAGGAAGGACAGTGTGGCCCTGAGAACAGGAGCCCATGAAAACTGGTGTTCATGTGGGTACAATTTGTGTCTCTCAGTCCCTGGCCAAGCTACACCTCTCGAGAGGTAACATTTTACACAAATGTGTGTCCTCTGAGACCCTATGACCTGGAGGCAGCCATCATGGAAGACCAGAAGCTGGAGGTCTGCCTCATTGTCTGGAAACAGTTCTGTGATGATGGCAGCGGTGATTAAAGAAACAACATTTTTTTTTTTTTTTTTGAAACAGCATGTTCTAATGTGAAATAATTCTAAACAGAATAAAGCTCATGTTTCAACCACAGATGCCCATGAATGCTTCCCAGGAGCCAAACACTAAAAGCTGACAGGCCAAGGGATGACAGTGTAGATATAGTATTTTCAGACCTAAAGTGGGTTAATGCAGATAAAAGTAACAAAACAGACTGATGCCACATAACACATTGTTCAGGCAAGGGGAGGGAAGGAAAGTGTTGGTGCTCACTCAGCTGCCAAGTGAATGCAGCTTACCTGTGTGGTTAGCTCCTACTGAATTAAAGTGACGCACAAGTTTTCAGATTAATTTAATGAATAAAAGATATACTGAAATAGCACATAAAAATTAACTTCCACTTCAGAGATTGTATACTTTACAGCCCTCCCAATATAATGCTTTAGGCAAAAAACAAAACAAAAACAAACCATCAAAGAGAAGATCTGAAACATTAAGTTATTTTACCTGGAAAGAATAAGATTATAAACTAACAAATCAGAATCTTGACCTTTAACTTGTTGAGGTCCAGCTGACAATGGTGATAAAGGCCAGTTGTCTCCATCCCCATTCCTATGATGGTGTCCATTCCTCTCTGGAGTCCTGGGCACCCCCTTCTCTTTCTTACATGCCTGGTACCTCTGATTCCACACTCCTGCTAATGACTAGTTTTTCAAATATTTTCTAGAAGTATTTGTCAAACTGACGGTGAAGGAGGGAAAATAAAACCAAAAACTTGGAGGCCCTCATCTTAGACCAAATTCTCTGGCTTGGTAAGATCATTTCTGGGGCCATCATTCCAGGGGCAGCTGAAGAATAGAAGAGAGTGGACACCCCACCTCCATCACCAGACAATGACTCCTGGTGTTACTATGGAGGAGTGAAGCAAAGTGACCCCTTGCCCAGCCAAAAGCTGAGATGCCAATTCTGTGGTTTGTTTCAGACAAGTAGGAGGAGATGATATTTAGAATGTCACCTCACCCAGAAAGCCAGGTCCCACATTTTGTTGCTCCGGTGAAAACTGGCTGTTCAAGTGCTTTCTGCTAACCTCTCTACAAGAGAGAATCTGTCACTGTAAGCCAGAGTGCTCATATTCAAATCCAGCCAGACCTTTGTTTCATAAAGAATAGTAAGGTTCGGTTTTTTGTTTATTTGTTTGTTTTTGTTTTTTGAGACAGGGTTTCTCTGTGGCTTTTGAGGCTGTCCTCGAACTAGCTCTTGTAGAAGGTTCGGTTTTACAAACTCCATTTTTACCAAAAGTTCTGGCTTGGTCATCAACCCTTGCTGGAAGCACCGAGGAAGCTAAGCTAACATCTGGGCTCACCTTGGTGGGGGGGGGGGGGGGGGGTGCAGCTGGGTAGAAGTAGTTTCCAAAGCTGATTTTGTTGACTGAAAAGTGAATACGGAGTAAGTATTCCCAGGAGAGATGCCATCTGCACAGTCTTTCCGAGGCTCTTCCCATCTAGCTCTGACAACCGCCTTGTCCCCTTTGTTGTCTTGAAACCCTAAACCAGGCTTTAAGAGGTCATACATAGCACAGCTACCAGGGAAAAGCCAAGGCCAGCTCTGACTGGAACCTGACTAGATACATTTAAAAGATGTGTGTATAGAACATCATAAAACTCACAAAGTGTGGCTCTGCTGGTGCACAGGCCTCTGTGAAAGGGACTTTCCATTCTTGCACGAGTGTGAATGTAGTCTGCTACCTGTTTGTACCAGGTAGAGGAAATCTCAATAAAATGTATGAATTGGCACCATAACTGAGGATACTGCCATCTCTCAATGGAATCCACACACCTGTAACTGAATGTGTGACTCAGAAGCCATGGCTGGCAGGGGAAAGTACTGGAAACTGATGACTTCGCAGTCGTCTGTCTCCCTGCCTTCTTCCCTACAGCCACCTCTGCCTGCTCAAGCCCAAACCATGTACCCTGCTGTTCTTGGCTAGTCAATGGTCCTCATGGGAAGCTAACACAGGGAATATAAGTTCATCTAGTCTAAGGAACAAATGACTGAGCAGATCTCTGCACCCCTCCCTTTGTAAGAAGGGCTGCTAACTACCAAGGTTTTAAATTCTGGGCATCTCAGTCCAAAAGCCAGCCTTTTGCACTTGCTTTGTTCATGCATGAGTGGAAAGTCTGTTCATTTCTCTCAAAGCATAGATAGAAAAACTACTAGTATTCTACTGAGGCAAGTACCATCCCTGCCCCCTCTTAATATCCCTGCCCCCTCTTAATTATTGGTAATCTGGAAATGTGCAGTGAAAGGTTTGTACCTCTTCAAGTTGGTCATTTCCATATTGTAGCCTATGGCATGCCCCACAATTTATATTGTATGTTTCAATTGCATTGAATTTAGTTATCATTTCAAGGACTCTAAAGAGTAATGAAGGGGAAACAGTTCATCTAGAAGGCCATGTGATTTGCCCATTGCCAGAAGCAGTGTGGACGTGGCTGCTGGGCTGCTTTGGCAGGCTCTAGGAGATGGACCTGGGAACTGCTTTTCAACAGTGGGGAAGTAGAAGACATTTCATGAAGTCCTCTTTCCCTAGCTCCCCAGGCCATGGCTGGGCAGAAGTCTTTTAAGCAAGATCATCAGCACCAGATCCTATGTAAAATGTCTACTGGAACAAAAGAGGCCTGACCTTTGGTGGTCCTTTTGTAGACTTGTCCCAGTAAAATGTCACTTGACTTGCTAAGAAAGACAGACTTGTGTGGCCTCAGCTCAGTGAAATTAAAAACCTGTCCTGAGCATTTCCATCACTTTTTTAGGTTCTGAAGTGACACCACTCATCTAAACTCTATGAAAGAACCCTGAAATGAACACAGGAACAAAATCCTGTGGTTAAGGTTGTGTGGGCAACAGTGACCTGGGTTAACTCACATCTTCAAAGACAAGAACACAGCTTGCTGTGACCAGTCCAAGCTAAAACCATCTGCATCAGCAGGCAAGCTCTGGAACCAGAATCCACAGATACTGAACCCCCCTGCCTTCCTCTCCCTTTGCCCTTTAGGTCCTTTGCCCCTAAAGAGCCTCAGAAAATCTCTTGCTAAAGCCCTGTTTATCTAGTTAATGAGCAGCTGAGAGAATCTGTCCTTCAAAACAAGTAATAGACTAATACATGTCTAGATGTTGAGGGGATTTGGGGAGGCAAAATTATTCTAGAAGCTATTCTAAGTCCTCCAAGAGCTTTTTGGGAAGCATTAGGTTTATGATGGTCATTCAAAAGGAAGAAAAATCCAGATCCATTCTCTTAAAATGGCTCTTAAAATGACAGACTTAAGGGTGGAGTACACACTTTGACAAGTTGCTCTAAGCCAGTATGTGATGGGGAATTGGTGTGTGACTCACAGACTGGTAGCTGGAGTAAAAGGGGCTAAGATATCCCCCCCCCCCCTTCATGGTCTAAAGCTGCTGTGGCCTCAGCTGCCAGAGGAACTGCTGCCTCGGGAAAAGCTAACAGCAGAAATGACTTGAGATTTGCAGCAAGCTGTACATTAGGCTGTCCTGGGCCACTGACTTGAAGTGGCATGTGCAATAATAGCTGCCCTGCAATAAAGCCTTTCATAAAGATGGCAAGCTTGACAGCCATCTCTGCAAACACACAACTGCTAATTAGCAATTAAACCTGACTGCCCTTAAGTGAGAATTGGAGCATAGTCATATTTAACATCATACCTGTGACATGCCCCACCATGCTAGCCAGACTTCCCTACTGAGAGCAACCTGGGATACACTAATCCAGAATGGGTAGCCACAACACTTTAGACCTCTAAATAGAGCTGGAAGCAAACTTCAGGGATGCAAACAACTGGCTGCCCAAACTAGAGCAACTCAAAACATTCACAGGTCCAGTTTCTAGCTTCTATTCACAGAAGGATGCTTTGCTGAAAACACCCTGCCTCAAGATGTCTTAATGGGCTGAAAATCAACAACTATATCTAACCCAAAAAAAAAGCCACTTGCTAAGGATCGTTGCTTGCCACCAAGGACCTGCAAAGCACTGTATGGGATACCCGTGTCATACAACAGACATCACTCCACTCTCAGCATGTCATAGGACTTTCCACAACGATGCTAAACCAAATGGGGACAATCTCATTTATCTCTGCCAGAGAAAGGAAGGGTTTAACATTAAAACCACCTTTAATTAGTTCTTCCTGCAACTGCACTTCAGATCCAGGAGACTGTAATTCATCCTATGAAACTGTGTTTTAGGCTGAAACTACACTGAATTTTCTTTGTTCAAATTTTTACATTTACCTGGCTATTTTCAAAATCAATTTTAACTATCCCTGTGTGCTCATGTATTTTGAACCATAAAATTCACTCAGTCTAGACCTTAAATCAGACCCTGAATTATGGATCCAGGTTAATGTTTGTGATGTTCCAGGAACCCTCTGCTCCTTGTCCCTGCTGAGGTCCGTCAGGCTAGACATAGAGACGCCAATCCAGGGCCTGTGCCAAAGAGTTAGCGTCTACTGTTGCCCCTCAAGCATGGCAGCTGATGACACCTGTCACAGGGAAGAGGACACAGTCCCTGAACCATATTTTAAACACATCAAATATCTTTAAAATTCTCTCTCAAAATGTATTACAAAAAGAGAGAGAGAGAGAAAAGAAAGGTTCAACCTGTTAATTTTAGGACTAAAATAAGCCACCTCTCGACGCTTTCTTTTCCCACAAAGAGCTCCTGTCATCACCTCTCTACCTAGTGCCTTCCTACCTGCCTAGAGCAGTGTTCACTCTTCAAATCAGGACTCTTCCATCTACAGCTCAGATTTTCTCTTGGCATGTCCACACCATTCCTGGCTTTGAGGTGCTCAATGCTCTATTCCCAGCTCAGTTTTCTGACTTGCATTTTGTTCAACTCTGAGCATAGCCCTCTTAGGGAAGTCTGTAAGGAAACAAATGGAGCTAGAGAAGAGTTGTCAAGTAAGTTTTCTATCAGTATCCCACCCCAGGTACCCTGACTTCCCAACCCTTCACCTGAGACT